GTACTCGTTCCAAGATGAGGAGGACATGTTCATGGTGGTGGACCTGCTGTTGGGAGGAGACCTGCGTTATCATCTACAGCAGAACGTGCCGTTCACCGAGGACGCGGTGAAGCTCTACCTGTGTGAGATGACACTCGCGCTCGACTACCTGCAGAGCCAACACATCATACACAGGTGAGTCAGAGAGTGTGTGTGTGTGTGTGTGAGTCAGAGAGAGTGTGTGTGTGTGTGAGTCAGAGTGTGTGTGTGTGTGTGCGCGCGTTTGAGTGTGTGTGTGTGTGTGCGTTTTAGTCAGGCTGTATTTAGTCACATTGTTTCTCCAGCGGTGGTTTAAGCTTCACTCTGCATCTTTTCAGAAGGAGTGTTTTCTGTCTGTAGTGTTATTTATTTGCACTAAGTTGGGGAGAAGTGTCTCCTAGCAACAGTGTGGCATGTCACGCTGCAACAGAGGTATATTTAGTCCCGGTGGAGGATCCCTAAAAAAAGGAGAGTGAGCGGAGCAGAGGCACACGACTGAAGAAACATCTGGAAACATCTGACGAATCCGGGTTTAAAGAAAGTCTGGCACATGACTGATAGCTGTGATTCCTCAAGTCATGTGTCTATAGACTCACAACACCCTAGAAACACCCTAGCAACTACTCAGAAGATCATAGCAACAGCCTGTGTGTGTGTGTGTGTGTGTGTGTGTGTGTGTGTGTGTGTGTGTGTGTGTGTGTGTGTGTGTGTGTGTGTCACGTTGAGTTCCCACAGACTGATGTTTGATTCAGAGAGGAAGTATCTGGATGAAATTCTCTCTGCATGATGTTGGAGATCCCTTTAAGGATGCAGTCGATGTTGTAATTGCGTCATTTTTCAGCACGATCTGTGTGTGTGTGTGTGTGTGTGTCAGATCTGCATGAATTAATCCCATCATGCTCTCTGGCATCATCATGACAGCAGGGACTCGGCTGGCTGTTAATTAGCTGTGAGGGAATCAGAGTGCGGCTTAAGCTGGACAGGGCTTTATTCTTAAATAGTGTGTGTGTGTGGGTGTGTTTGCATGCGTGTGTGTGTATGTGTGTGTGTGTGTGTGTGTGTGTGTGTTTGTGTATATGCGTGTGTGTGTGTGTGTGTGTATGTGTGTCACATGTGTGTGTGTGTGTATGTGTGAATGTGCGCTCGTTGTAATTAGTGAGTGTCTTGAAACTGTGACGGCCCCCCGAGAACTGAACATTCACACAAAGGAAGGCCGACAAAGCTTTCAGAACATCTCATGTGTGAGTCTCACACTCACACACACACACACACACACACACACGGCTCACACTACCCTCAGATGCTGTCAGTCTCAGACAACGTGACGTGTGAATCAAGTGAAGGTGTTTGACTGACCTGCTGATGTCATAGAAACTGATGCGATGATGTCATTCTCTCTCCACACAGGGACATCAAACCTGACAACATCCTCCTGGACGAGCAAGGTGAGGTGTGTGTGTGTGTGTGTGTGTGTGTGTGTGTGTGTGTGTGTGAGTGAGTGAGTGTGTCTGTGAGTCCGTGTGTGAGAGAGAGTGTTTGTGTGAGTCCGTGTGTGAGAGAGAGTGTGTGTGTGTGTGTGTGTGAGTCTGTGTGTGTGAGATAGTCCGTGTGTGTGTGTATGTGTGAGTCTGTGTGTGTGTGTCTCTGTGAGAGTAAGTGTGTGTGTGTGTGTCAGTGACAGTAAGTGTGTGTGTGTGTTTGTGTCAGTGAGTGAGTGTTCGTGTGTGTGTGTGTGTGTGTGTGTCTGTGAGTCCGTGTGTGAGAGAGAGTGTTTGTGTGAGTCCGTGTGTGAGAGAGAGTGTGTGTGTGTGTGTGTGTGAGTCTGTGTGTGTGAGATAGTCCGTGTGTGTGTGTATGTGTATGTGTGAGTCTGTGTGTGTGTGTCTCTGTGAGAGTAAGTGTGTGTGTGTGTGTCAGTGACAGTAAGTGTGTGTGTGTGTTTGTGTCAGTGAGTGAGTCTTCGTGTGTGTGTGTGTGTGTGTGTGTCAGTGACAGTAAGTCAAGTCAAGTCATCTTCATTTATATAGCGCTTTTAACAATGAATTGTTTCAAAGCAGCTTTACAGAGATAAACATATAATTTAAGGTAACAGATTGTTTTGGCGTTATAGCGGTTCTTGAATAATGTTACTTCCAGCTAAAGTTAACTTTGATTGATTCACCTCCGTCGAAATGATCAGACTTTAAACGCGAACCTGTGATTAACGCTGACGGCGTTCACATGCTCATTCATAATTCTATAGTTATGTGCTTTTAAAATATGTGCGCAGGTTTGTAATTCATACAACCCAGCCTAAACAAACTACTTTTCTTGCCTATAAATTTTGATACAGAATTTTGTTTTATTTTATCACTTCGGGGTACGCGAGCCGGAATTCACAGCGCTTTATCTGTAGAGTGGGAAAGATAGAATAGACGTGAAGGACTATAATGCGTTAAGAGCTCGCTCAAGTACTGCGGAGCTAAACCATTTAGTGCTTTGTAGGTAATCAACAATATTTTAAAATTTATACGATGTTTAATAGGGAGCCAATGCAGTGTAGACAGAACCGGGCTAATATGGTCATACTTCCTGGTTCTGGTAAGAACTCGAGCGGCTGCGTTTTGAACCAGCCGGAGTTTGTTTATTAAGCGTGCAGGGCAACCACCCAGTAGAGCATTACAGTAATCTAGCCTTGAGGTCATGAACGCATGGACTAATTGTTCCGCATTTCCCAATGAGAGCATATGGCGTAATTTAGATATATTTTTAAGATGGAAAAATGCAGTTTTACAGATACTAGACACGTGGCTTTCAAAAGAAAGGTTGGTATCAAAGAGCTCACCCAGTTTCCTAACCGACGATGAAGACTTGACAGAGCAGCCATTAAGTGTTAGACAGTATTCTGGGTTATTAAGTGTGTGTGTGTGTGTGTGAGTCCGTGTGTGAGAGAGAGTGTGTGTGTGTGAGAGTGTGTGTGTGTGTATGTGTGAGTCTGTGTGTGTGTGTCTCTGTGAGAGTAAGTGTGTGTGTGTGTGTGTGTGTGTGTCAGTGACAGTTAGTGTGTGTGTGTGTGTGTGTGTGTGTGTTTGTGTCAGTGAGTGAGTGTTCGTGTGTGTGTGTGTGTGTGTGTGTGTGTATGAGAGAGTGTGTGTGTGTGTGTGTGTGTGTATGAGAGAGTGTGTGTGTGTGTGTGTGTGTGTGTATGAGAGAGAGTGTGTGTGTGTGAGTCCGTGTGTGTGTGTGTGTGTGTGTATGAGAGAGTGTGTGTGTGTGTGTGTGTGTGTGTGTATGAGAGAGAGTGTGTGTGTGTGTGAGTCCGTGTGTGAGAGAGAGTGTGTGTGTGTGTGTGTGTGTGTGTGTGTGTGTGTGTGTGTGTGTGTGTGTGTGTGTGTTTGTGTGTATGAGAGTGTGTGTGTGTGTGTGTGTGTGTGTGTGTTTGTGTGTGTCAGTGACAGTAAGTGTGTGTGTGTGTTTGTGTCAGTGTGTGTGTGTTCGTGTGTGTGTGTGTGTGTGTGTGTGTGTCTGTGTGTGTGTGAGATCATGTCGGTCTATTCATGACTTTCCCTTCTTATAAAGAATGAATAATTGCACTCATTAGACGCCGTCTCTCTGTTATTCTTCAGGTCACGCACATTTAACAGACTTTAACATCGCTACGATAATCAAGGACGGAGAACGAGCCACGGCGCTAGCGGGTACGAAGCCTTACATGGGTAAGAAACATCGGCTCATCCACAAGATCCAGAACTCAAACGGCACATTCATCAGTTCAGCGCTCCATCCTTTAAAAAGAGAAATTATGATAAACTCAACCACTTTTTTTATATATTCTGTTCAATCGGTCACGGAATGACATTTCTGCTTCCCCACAGAACCTTTCAGGGATCAGTTCTTAAAATAACATTTTTTTTAAAGTGTAAAGAACATTTGAACTCTTTCCCCGCCATTGACGGTATTTTCCATGCCTCCGTGTTTTCTTTGTTACACGGTAGGGGGCGCTATTACACATCTCCTGAAAGAGTACCGAATCTCTGGATCAAAACGCAGGAGAAGAAGAAGCAGAAACCAGCGATAGAAGCATTACTGACGCACATGTAAAATTACACGATCATCAAACATTCAACAGCATATAAATCAACTATTCCTGATCCAGTAAACCAGAAACAATGGAAAAGTCATGCAAAGTCATTGGTTAAAAAGAGCAGGAACATTCAGCTCTTAAACTGAAACTAGGAGTGTGTTTGAATATTGAGGAACAACGGCCTTGGAGTCAAAAAGGTTGAGAACCACTGATACAACTAGTGTGTTAAACTAAATTATTACACGGCTCTGTGGAATACTTGATTCTGATTGGTCAATAGTGCCAGCATCCAGTGGTGAGTTATTCCCAGATAACAGCAGAAACACAGGCTCATCCGGTCACTGAAGTCAGCAGCGCTACACACTCGCTAGGAACGCTCTTTCTTCGTGGAAGTTTTGCTTTTGTGAGCTAATGAAATATTAAAACTCACTCAAATCAATATTTTGTGTACAGTTCTTTAATTATGTCATCCAGTATCGTGGACTCGCTCGCTCTTGTTTAATACAGACGCAGCAGCGGCCATTTTGTGACTATTGTTTTGTACACTGTCGAATTATGAGAGACAAACAGGTACGATTTTAAAACAGTTTAATCTGAAATCAATATCTCTGATCTCCATAATTATTTATGTGGCGAAATGCTGTGTAATAAGTGTTATGACTGTATACCGTATCTCTTAAATGTCCATATAGTTTGAACTCGCCGCTTTTAAAGAGATAATAAAATATTTCAACTCAATATTTTGTGTCTAATTATTGGCAAGTAGCCGTGTAATAATCAGGATAATGTACGTCCAGCCAGTTGTTATCTCAGAATAAACCCCTTCAGGTGTGTGTGTGTGTGTTATCTCATAAAAAAAACCTTCAGGTGTGTGTGTGTGTGTGTTATCTCAGAATAAACCCCTTCAGGTGTGTGTGTGTTATCTCAGAATAAACCCCTTCAGGTGTGTGTGTGTGTGTGTGTGTGTGTGTTATCTCAGAATAAACCCCTTCAGGTGTGTGTGTGTGTGTGTGTGTGTTATCTCAGAATAAACCTCTTCAGGTTTGTGTGTGTGTGTGTGTGTGTGTTATCTCAGAATAAACCCCTTCAGGTGTGTGTGTGTGTGTGATCTCAGAATAAACCCCTTCAGGTGTGTGTGTGTGTGTGTTTGTTATCTCAGGCCCTGTTTACACGAAAACGATTCCGGGTGAAAACGTAATAATATTTTATCGGATGTGCCTTTCGTTTACACGGCGACGGCGTTTTTGGGGCTTAAAAACGCAAAAAAGTGAAACCACCCTCCAAAGTGGAAATCTTAAAAACGCTCCACCGTCGCGTTTCCGTCTAAACGGGTAAAAACGCACATCTGCTCACGGTGGCTCTCGTCGCGTACGCATTTAAGTCACAGGCATGCGCCAGTACAGGAAAATAACAACCAACATGTCGGATTATTTCCATACGTCGGACCTTCAAGTTGCCCTAGCAGCTCTGAAAAACGTCCAAGAGTCTTTTCAATTTCGCGCTACTAGGGAGAGAAGTAGAAGGAAGGTTGTACGCAGGCGCACGGACTTGTTGTTGTTGTGTGGCAGTGCTTCACATCGCCACCTAGCCGCCTGGAGTGCAGACTACATCGCATTTCTAACACTTTTGCGTCTCCATATGCACGCAGATTTCCTCCCCATAATGCTCGTCTAAACGCAGAATAAAAAGTGAAAACGAAACGCCACTTTTGCGTTTTCTCTTCAGATCGTTTCCGTGTAAACATGGCCTCAGAATAAACCCCTTCAGGTGTGTGTGTGTGTGTGTGTTATCTCAGAATAAACCTCTTCAGGTGTGTGTGTGTGTGTGTGTGTGTGTTATCTCAGAATAAACCCCTTCAGGTCTGTGTGTGTGTGTGTGTTATCTCAGAATAAACCTCTTCAGGTGTGTGTGTGTGTGTGTGTGTGTGTGTGTGTGCGTGTGTGTGTTATCTCAGAATAAACCCCTTCAGGTATGTGTGTGTGTGTGTGTGTGTGTTATCTCAGAATAAACCCCTTCAGGTATGTGTATGTGTGTGTGTGTGTGTGTGTGTGTTATCTCAGAATAAACCCCTTCAGGTGTGTGTGTGTTAGACCTGATCCTGATCACCCTGTCGGGTTTATTCTGAGATAACAACCGGCTGGACGGACATTATTCCGTACTTAACTGGACTTTCTGCTGTTAGTCAGAGTCGGACCAGATGAGATCATCCCGTCTGAAAGCATGTTATTGTCTTCTAACAGCTCCAGAGATCTTCCAGTCGTTTGTGAGCGGAGGAACCGGTTACGCTCTTGAGGTGGACTGGTGGTCGCTGGGCGTCACGATCTTTGAGGTTCTGCGAGGTTGGGTAAGATAGAACTCTACTCTGTGCAGATGACACCGTTCCTAACAGGGAACCCAGACAGCACCATAGTGTCGGCCCAGATCCGGCCCACATCTGGGCTTTGTGGAATCCACATGTACCAGATTTGGGCCGGCACTATGTTGCTGTCTGGGAACGTTCTCTGAAGGTTCTCTCGAAGTTATGAACAAACATTCTTCCAGTAACAATAATAGAACATTCATTCAAAGTTATCTGGTCTTTAATAATGTTCTCAAAACGTTAGTACAAAAACATTATTCATACATTAATCGTGTAAGATTTTTTCTGAAACATTTTAGTTGGACGTTCATCTAACGTTTTTTTTTTTAAATGTTTCTAATTGTTTCAAGTAACGTTCCCATAATGATTGAAGAATGGAATTTTCCCTAAACGTTCTCATAACCAGATTTTTTTTTTTAAATGTTTAATAAACTGCTCATTTTGAGCATTCAGAGAATATTCAGAAATATATATTTAATGGGAATGTTAGCAAAATGTTCTTAGAACATGTTTTTGTAAGCTGGGATGTTATAGTCACCAGGGCTGCGGTTCCCAAAAGAAAGATCGCAGTGGTTTAGGTGATCTACCTGTCCTGATGATAGTCACCAGTACATCTTGTGTTCTGGTCTGAAGTTTCCTGCAAGGAATGATTCTTAACTAGCTTAACTTCCCTGGTCAACCATCTTTACCAGCACAGTTTTGCTTGGACTGTGCAGATTCATGCAGATCTAAACTGATTATCAGCAGAATGACTAACTGTGTTTGCATGAACATATTTATGGAAGCTTTTGTTCTTTCACTGTCTGTCTGTATTTGTCTGTCTGTATCTGTCTGTCTGTCTATCGATCTGTGTCTCTGTTTAACTGTCTGACTGACTGTTTGTTTGTTTGTTTGTTTGTTTGTCTGTCTGTCTGTTTGTCTGACTGTCTCTCTGTCTGACTGTCTATTTGACTGTGTCTCTGTCTGTTTGTCTGTCTGTCTGTCTCAGTTTGTCTGACTGACTGTCTGTTTGTCTGATTGTCTGTTTGTCTGACTGTGTCTGTCTGTCTGACTGTCTGTTTGTCTAAATGACTTTCTGTCTGACTTTCTGTCTGTCTGTATGTCTGTCTGACTGTGTGTGTCTGTCTGTTTGTTTGATTGTCTCTCTGTCTGTCTGACTGACTGACTGCGTGTCTGACTGTGTTTCTGACTGTCTGTTTGTCTCTCTGTCTGATTGTCTGAGTGTCTCTCTGTCTGTCTGTCTGTCTGTCTGATTGTCTGACTGTCTCTCTGTCTGATTGTCTGACTGTCTCTCTGTCTGACTGTCTCTCTGTCTGTCTGTCTCTGTCTGATTGTCTGACTGTCTCTCTGTCTGACTGTGTCTGTCTGTCTCTCTTTCTGATTGTCTCTCTGTCTGTCTGTCTGTATCTGTCTGTCTATCTGTGTCTCTGTTTAACTGTCTGTCTGTCTGTCTGTCTGTTTGTCTGTCTGTCTGACTGACTGTCTGTCTGTATCTGTCCGTCTGTCTATCGATCTGTGTCTCTGTTTAACTGTCTGACTGACTGTTTGTTTGTTTGTTTGTTTGTTTGTTTGTCTGTCTGTTTGTCTGACTGTCTCTCTGTCTGACTATCTATTTGACTGTGTCTCTGTCTGTTTGTCTGACTGTCTGTCTCTCTGTTTGTCTGACTGACTGTCTATTTGTTTGACTGTGTCTGTCTGACTGTCTGTCTGATTGTCTGTCTGTCTGTTTGACTGTGTCTGTCTGTTTGTTTGACTGTCTGTCTGTCTGTCTGTTTGACTGTGTCTGTCTGTTTGTTTGACTGTCTGTCTGTCTGTCTGTTTGACTGTGTTTGTCTGTCTGTCTGTTTGACTGTGTCTGTCTGTTTGACTGTGTCTGTCTGACTGACTGTCTGTTTGTCTGATTGTCTGTTTGTCTGACTGTGTCTGTCTGTCTGACTGTCTGTTTGTCTGACTTTCTGTCTGACTGTGTCTGTCTGTCTAAATGACTTTCTGTCTGACTTTCTGTCTGTCTGTATGTCTGTCTGACTGTGTGTGTCTGTCTGTTTGTCTGATTGTCTGACTGACTGTCTGTTTGTCTCTCTGTCTGTCTGACTGTCTGACTGACTGACTGCGTGTTTGACTGTGTTTCTGACTGTCTGTCTGTCTCTCTGTCTGATTGTCTGACTGTCTGTCTGATTGTCTGACTGTCTCTCTTTCTGTCTGTCTGATTTTCTGACTGTCTCTCTGTCTGATTGTCTGTCTGTCTGTCTGTCTCTGTCTGATTGTCTGACTGTCTCTCTGTCTGACTGTGTCTGTCTGTCTCTCTTTCTGATTGTCTCTCTGTCTGTCTGACTGACTGTCTGTCTGTCTGTCTGTCTGACTGTGTGTGTGTGTGTGTGTGTGTCTGACTGTCTGTCTGACTGTGTGTGTCTGACTGTGTCTGTCTGACTGTCTGTCTGACTGTGTGTGTGTGTGTGTGTGTGTGTGTCTGACTGTCTCTCTGTCTGATTGTCTGACTGTCTCTCTGTCTGTCTGTCTGATTGTCTCTCTGTCTGATTGTCTGTCTGTGTGTCTGTCTGTTTGTCTGTCTGTCTCTGTCTGACTGTCTCTCTGTCTGACTGTGTCTGTCTGTCTCTCTTTCTGATTGTCTCTCTGTCTGTCTGACTGTCTGTCTGACTGTGTGTGTGTCTGACTGTCTGTCTGACTGTCTGTCTGACTGTATGTGTGTCTGTCTGACTGTCTCTGTCTGACTGTGTATGTGTGTGTGTGTGTGTGTGTGTGTGTGTGTGTCTGACTGTCTCTCTGTCTGATTGTCTGTCTGACTGTGTGTGTCAGATGACTGACTGTCTGTTTGTCTGATTGTCTGTTTGTCTGACTGTGTCTGTCTGTCTGACTGTCTGTTTGTCTGACTTTCTGTCTGACTGTGTCTGTCTGTCTAAATGACTTTCTGTATGTCTGTCTGACTGTGTGTGTCTGTCTGTTTGTCTGATTGTCTGACTGACTGTCTGTTTGTCTGATTGTCTCTCTGTCTGTCTGACTGTGTGACTGACTGACTGCGTGTCTGACTGTGTTTCTGACTGTCTGTCTGTCTCTCTGTCTGATTGTCTGACTGTCTGTCTGTCTGATTGTCTGACTGTCTCTCTGTCTGTCTGTCTGTCTGATTGTCTGACTGTCTCTCTGTCTGACTGTCTCTCTGTCTGATTGTCTGTCTGTCTGTCTCTGTCTGATTGTCTGACTGTCTCTCTGTCTGACTGTGTCTGTCTGTCTCTCTTTCTGATTGTCTCTCTGTCTGTCTGACTGACTGTCTGTCTGACTGTGTGTGTGTGTCTGACTGTCTGTCTGACTGTGTGTGTGTCTGACTGTGTCTGTCTGACTGTCTGTCTGACTGTGTGTGTGTGTGTGTGTGTGTCTGTCTGACTGTCTCTCTGTCTGACTGTGTGTATGTGTGTGTGTGTCTGTCTGTCTGTCTGTCTGATTGTCTGACTGTCTCTCTGTCTGATTGTCTGACTGTCTCTCTGTCTGTCTGATTGTCTGACTGTCTCTCTGTCTGATTGTCTGTCTGTCTGTCTGTCTGTTTGTCTCTGTCTGACTGTCTCTCTGTCTGACTGTGTCTGTCTGTCTCTCTTTCTGATTGTCTCTCTGTCTGTCTGACTGTCTGTCTGACTGTGTGTGTGTCTGACTGTCTGTCTGACTGTGTGTGTGTGTGTGTGTCTGTCTGACTGTCTCTCTGTCTGACTGTGTGTATGTGTGTGTGTGTGTTTGACTGTCTCTGTCTGTCTGTCTGACTGTGTGTGTGTGTGTGTGTGTGTGTGTGTGTCTGACTGTCTCTCTGTCTGTCTGTCTCTCTGTCTGATTGTCTGACTGTCTCTCTGTCTGACTGTCTGTCTGACTGTGTGTGTGTCTGACTGTCTCTCTGTCTGACTGTGTCTGTCTCACTGACTGTCTGTCTGACTGTTTCTGTCTGCCTGTCTGTCTCTCAGAGGCCGTATGAGATCCACGGCAGTAATTCGGTGGAGTCTCTGCTGCAGTTGTTCAGCACCGTCAGTGTTCAGTACAGCTCCTCCTGGCACAAAGACCTCGTGTCACTGCTGAGGAAGGTGAGAGCTCATCTTATATATGATCAACAAACACTCACATATTCTTATTCTCATGTCATTCTAGTTGGGCGGTTGCTAGGGTGTTTTGGGTTGTTGGAAGGCATTTCTATGTTTTAAGCAGCTCTGCAGTTGCTAGGGTGTTCTAGGTGGTTGCTATGGTGTCATGGGTCGTTGTTAGGTGAGTTCTTACCGAGCCTCTTCCTCAACAAATTGCATTAATAAGGATTAAATGGAAAAAAGATGGAGAGGAATGAAAATAGACAGAACACAGATGGAGTCGGAATGAATGAAGAGAACATAAAACACTCTAATGATGCAGGAGAGAATAAAGGGAAGGATTGAGATGAGCGAGAGAAAGAGGAGCTGATGATAATGAGAGATAAGTGAAGAAAATGAGTGGAGAGACAGAGAAATATTATGAGAGGAAAATAGATAGGAGTGAAGAACAGAGGAGCGAGGAGAGACATTACAGTCATTTATTAGACCAGTTACATACAGAAGAATCAGAGGAGAAGAGCATTGTGGGTACAGGAAGTGTGATGCTCAGAACTTCCTCTTTTAGGTCAAGTCAGCTTTATTTCTATAGCGCTTTATACAACACTGATTCAAAGCAGCTTCACGGTAATAAACAGATGCAAACTTCATCAAATATGAGACAAATTCTGATTCAGCGGCTCCTCTCTTTCCAGTCTGTCAGTAACGCTCTGTTTACGTCCTGTCTCTATGAAGCCCCTCCTCCTGAAAAGCACACTGTGCTCTGATTGGTCGGCTGGAGCAGTGTGTTGTGATTGGTCGAGCGCTTCGAGTGTGTTTGGGAAATGTCCCGCCCCTTTCCATAACCGCCAGTTTAACACACTACTAACTAACTCAACCAGGCCCCGCCCCTTTCCATAACCGCCAGTTTAACACACTACTGACTAACTCAACCAGGCCCCGCCCCTTTATTCTGCGTATGAATAACCCTCTGGTGCTCTTTCATTTTTTTGTCAATGAAATGTGTACTATTTTTTAGTTTGATATTGATATTTAATATTTTGTAATTTTTGGGGATTTATTTTATACTAAATTATATTTACGCTGTATTTATAACATTTATTCAGTTTTTGAGCATAGACCTGAAAATTAAATGTCCAGCTTAAACTGTGGTAAATCCTGAACGCTTTAGAGCGACAGACTGAAGTTTGATCTCTTTTCAAAGATGACACATGGCAGATTATTGCTGAAGTGAGAAAAGTTTTAAAAAGTGAACTTAAAAAAAGTTAAAGAATTTTAGGTGTATTGTTATGAAAAATGCACACAAATACTATTTTCATTTTTTATATGTTTTTTACATTTTACTCTAAAACTGCAAGAAAATCACAGCCATAAATCTAAACAAGTGGTGTTCCAAATGTGAGCTTGATCTTTCAGTAAATGAGCGTTCAGTGAGTGTGTGTTCGGCTGCAGTTCCAAACGCTTCCACTAAATAAAATGTCCATTTCCAATGCGCTCATTTTTAACCGCGAGGAGCACAAGTGTGTGTGTGTGTGTGTGTGTGTAACTGCTTGTGTTCTGTGATTCTGCAGTTACTGACAGTGAACCCCGAGCACCGGTTCTGTAGTCTGGCTCAGATGCAGACGGCTCCCTATCTCTCCGACGTCAGCTGGGACGATGTGTATGAGAAGAAGATGGAGCCTGGGTTCGTTCCCAATGTGAGATTGAGTTCACACACACACACACACACGATCAGGGTCTAAAAAGAGTCCAAACCTGCACACATGCTTACTTTAAGTCAAAGTGAACTTACTTTCTTGTTTTTCCAAGAAAGTAAGAAAAGCAACGTCCTTACTTATTAAACGTCCTGCTTTAATAAAAAATACAGTGACAGAGAGTCTTTAAATAATCATTCCAAAGGGAAAAAATCTATTTTAAGGCTGTGATGTGAAATACCGTTTCATAGCCAGTAAAACCATATTTATGGCCTGTAAATGTTCTGCACTGACAGATGTTGATTTGGTTAGTTTTAGACCCTGTACACACACACACACACTCTCTCTCTCTCTGTCTCTCTCTCTCACACACACACACACACACACACACACACTCTCATATGATGAAGAAACACTGCTGTATTCTCAATAGTGTGTGTGTTCTCTTCTCTCACACAGAAAGGGCGTCTGCATTGTGATCCGACCTTTGAACTGGAGGAGATGATCCTGGAGTCTCGGCCGCTTCACAAGAAGAAGAAGCGACTGGCAAAAAACAGATCGAGAGACAACAGCAAAGATTCTCAGTCTGTGAGTGAAAATGACATTTCACTGTTATAGTGTGACATTTAAACTATAACAGCACTGGTTGTTTATTATATTGAGCCTGACGAGTGAAGAATCTTAACACACACAATCCTCTCACCAGATCACATGATTATGAGGCGTGTTTGTGATCAGATCCCATGATTATGAGTCAAGTGTGTCTGTGATCAGATTACATGAATCATAGGTGTGTTGGACTTATGCAGCTCTGCGTAGACCGATCGGCGGCTGACTTGAAACAGTGCATGCCGGTTAGAAATGTTGTCCGACTTGATGCAGCGCCGACGCCACATGACTGTGACGTATGCCATCACAGTACCGCGAGAGCGATTCGAGAGTAGCCGGAGGACTCAGCCAGCGCAGCTTCTGAAGAGCGGCTGCACGAGCTCTGATGACGACACAGCTGGTTCACCGCATGACAACGATCACGTGCGTTTCGTGTTTATTCTCACACCTTTAGTTCCACTAAAGCTTTTATAACAGTAAACAGTCTTTCCATGTAGTCGCGATGTTATATTGTGTCATTTATCAAAATTAAACTGATTAAAAAACGTTGACTCCACTTCATTGATATAGGCTTATTTTGAACTTTATTCTTGTTCAAACAGATGCTGTATGAGGCAGTAAAGTATTGAATGAAAATGTGTCTGAAATATCTGTGTATTTGGCAAATATTGCATTTATTTCACTTCGGCTGTGGTAAAGTATGCAAACACCAAGTGAGCGGTCACTACGGGAACCAGAAAGTGTCCGACTTCACGTCTCCGTTTGCAGCTCCTCCCCGCCTGCACACGGCTACTCTCACCGATCGGTTACATCCAGCCGCAGCCGATGTCCAACACACCTTATGAGTCAAGCGTGTCTGTGGTCAGATCACATGATTATGAGTCAAGCGTGTCTGTGGTCAGATCACATGATTATGAGTCAAGCGTGTCTGTGGTCAGATCACATGATTATGAGGCGTGTCTGTGGTCAGATCACATGATTATTAGGCGTGTCTGTGGTCAGATCACATGATTATGAGGTCATCTCTCTCCTCTAACTGAAGATGAGCTTCTATGGTCTGGAGACGCCGGAAGCGAAGGCATTATTACCTGGATGATTAAATTATGAAGCTCTCAGAGCTGCAGCTTCTCCTGAAACACACCAGGCTATTTTTGGTGTTTCCAGCAGGATTCTGTGTTCAGAGCTCGACACAACTACAGCTGACAAAAATACATTCTGAGAACATTTTCCTCACGTTCCCATTCAGTTAAACATGCAGTTTTTTAATGTTTTTTCTTGGTCATGCGATCGTTCCATTCTTCAAACGTTATTGAAACGTTACTTTTGAATGTTCTCTGAAACAATAGTTACATTTATAAACGTTAGACGAATGTCCAACTGAAACATTTCAGGAAAATAACGCTCCATGAACGATGTATAAATAACAGATAATAGACTCGATAACTGTGACGATGGCTGTATTAATGTGACTCGCGTGTGACGGCTGATGATTGTGTGTTTCCTGCAGGAGAACGAGTATCTTCAGGAGTGCCTTGAAGTCGTCCAGCAGGAGTTCATGATCTTCAACCGTGAAAAGTGAGAATATAAACACTAGAGTTCTGAGCTGTGTCATGTTTTCTTGAAGATTAGGGTTAGTTCACACCCCTTCTCCTCTTCTCCACTTCTCCACTTCTCCTCTTCTCCACTTCTCCACTTCTCCTCTTCTCCACTTCTCCTCTTCTCCTCTTCTCCACTTCTCCTCTTCTCCACTTCTCCACTTCTCCTCTTCTCCACTTCTCCACTTCTCCACTTCTCCTCTTCTCCACTTCTCCACTTCTCCTCTTCTCCTCTTCTCCACTTCTCCTCTTCTCCACTTCTCCTCTTCTCCTCTTCTCCACTTCTCCTCTTCTCCACTTCTCCTCTTCTCCACTTCTCCTCTTCTCCACTTCTCCACTTCTCCACTTCTCCTCTTCTCCACTTCTCCTCTTCTCCACTTCTCCTCTTCTCCACTTCTCCTCTTCTCCACTTCTCCTCTTCTCCTCTTCTCCACTTCTCCACTTCTCCTCTTCTCCTCTTCTCCTCTTCTCCACTTCTCCTCTTCTCCACTTCTCCTCTTCTCCACTTCTCCTCTTCTCCACTTCTCCTCTTCTCCACTTCTCCTCTTCTCCACTTCTCCTCTTCTCCACTTCTCCTCTTCTCCACTTCTCCTCTTCTCCACTTCTCCTCTTCTCCACTTCTCCACTTCTCCTCTTCTCCACTTCTCCTCTTCTCCACTTCTCCTCTTCTCCACTTCTCCTCTTCTCCACTTCTCCACTTCTCCTCTTCTCCACTTCTCCACTTCTCCTCTTCTCCACTTCTCCTCTTCTCCTCTTCTCCACTTCTCCTCTTCTCCTCTTCTCCACTTCTCCTCTTCTCCACTTCTCCTCTTCTCCACTTCTCCTCTTCTCCTCTTCTCCACTTCTCCACTTCTCCTCTTCTCCACTTCTCCTCTTCTCCACTTCTCCACTTCTCCTCTTCTCCACTTCTCCACTTCTCCTCTTCTCCACTTCTCCTCTTCTCCACTTCTCCTCTTCTCCACTTCTCCTCTTCTCCACTTCTCCACTTCTCCACTTCTCCTCTTCTCCACTTCTCCTCTTCTCCACTTCTCCTCTTCTCCTCTTCTCCACTTCTCCTCTTCTCCACTTCTCCACTTCTCCTCTTCTCCACTTCTCCTCTTCTCCACTTCTCCACTTCTCCTCTTCTCCTCTTCTCCACTTCTCCACTTCTCCTCTTCTCCACTTCTCCACTTCTCCACTTCTCCTCTTCTCCTCTTCTCCACTTCTCCACTTCTCCTCTTCTCCACTTCTCCTCTTCTCCTCTTCTCCACTTCTCCACTTCTCCTCTTCTCCACTTCTCCTCTTCTCCACTTCTCCACTTCTCCTCTTCTCCACTTCTCCACTTCTCCACTTCTCCTCTTCTCCACTTCTCCACTTCTCCTCTTCTCCACTTCTCCTCTTCTCCACTTCTCCTCTTCTCCACTTCTCCTCTTCTCCTCTTCTCCACTTCTCCTCTTCTCCACTTCTCCACTTCTCCTCTTCTCCACTTCTCCTCTTCTCCACTTCTCCTCTTCTCCACTCCTCTTCTCCACTTCTCCTCTTCTCCACTTCTCCTCTTCTCAACTTCTCCTCTTCTCCACTTCTCCTCTTCTCCACTTCTCCACTTCTTCTCTTCTCCACTTCTCCTCTTCTCCACTTCTCCACTTCTCCTCTTCTCCTCTTCTCCACTTCTCCTCTTCTCCACTTCTCCACTTCTCCTCTTCTCCACTTCTCCTCTTCTCCACTTCTCCTCTTCTCCACTTCTCCTCTTCTCCACTTCTCCACTTCTCCTCTTCTCCACTTCTCCTCTTCTCCACTTCTCCTCTTCTCCACTTCTCCACTTCTCCACTCCTCCTCTCCACTTCTCCTCTTCTCCACTTCTCCACTTCTCCACTTCTCCTCTTCTCCACTTCTCCACTTCTCCTCTTCTCCACTTCTCCACTTCTCTCTTCTCCTCTTCTCCACTTCTCCTCTTCTCCACTTCTCAACTTCTCCACTTCTCCACTTCTCCTCTTCTCCACTTCTCCTCTTCTCCTCTTCTCCAATTCTCCTCTTCTCCACTTCTCCACTTCTCCTCTTCTCCACTTCTCCTCTTCTCCACTTCTCCTCTTCTCCACTTCTCCACTTCTCCTCTTCTCCACTTCTCCTCTTCTCCACTTCTCCTCTTCTCCACTTCTCCTCTTCTCCACTTCTCCTCTTCTCCTCTTCTCCACTTCTCCTCTTCTCCACTTCCCCTCTTCTCCACTTCTCCTCTTCTCCACTTCTCCTCTTCTCCACTTCTCCTCTTCTCCACTTCTCCTCTTCTCCACTTCTCCTCTTCTCCACTTCTCCTCTTCTCAACTTCTCCTCTTCTCCACTTCTCCTCTTCTCCACTTCTCCACTTCTCCACTTCTTCTCTTCTCCACTTCTCCTCTTCTCCACTTCTCCACTTCTCCTCTTCTCCTCTTCTCCACTTCTCCTCATCTCCACTTCTCCACTTCTCCTCTTCTCCACTTCTCCACTTCTCCACTTCTCCTCTTCTCCACTTCTCCACTTCTCCACTCCTCCTCTCCACTTCTCCTCTTCTCCACTTCTCCTCTTCTCAACTTCTCCACTTCTCCTCTTCTCCACTTCTCCACTTCTCCTCTTCTCCACTTCTCCTCTTCTCCACTTCTCCACTTCTCCTCTTCTCCACTTCTCCACTTCTCAACTTCTCCACTTCTCCTCTTCTCCACTTCTCCACTTCTCCTCTTCTCCACTTCTCCTCTTCACCACTTCTCCACTTCTCCTCTTCTCCACTTCTCCACTTCTCCTCTTCTCCTCTTCTCCACTTCTCCTCTTCTCCACTTCTCCTCTTCTCCACTTCTCCTCTTCTCCACTTCTCCTCTTCTCCACTTCTCCTCTTCTCCTCTTCTCCACTTCTCCTCTTCTCCACTTCTCCACTTCTCCTCTTCTCCACTTCTCCTCTTCTCCACTTCTCCTCTTCTCCACTTCTCCTCTTCTCCACTTCTCCACTTCTCCTCTTCTCCACTTCTCCTCTTCTCCTCTTCTCCACTTCTCCTCTTCTCCACTTCTCCTCTTCTCCACTTCTCCTCTTCTCCACTTCTCCTCTTCTCCACTTCTCCACTTCTCCTCTTCTCCACTTCTCCACTTCTCCTCTTCTCCTCTTCTCCACTTCTCCTCTTCTCCTCTTCTCCACTTCTCCTCTTCTCCACTTCTCCTCTTCTCCACTTCTCCTCTTCTCCTCTTCTCCACTTCTCCTCTTCTCCACTTCTCTTCTTCTCCTCTTCTCCACTTCTCCTCTTCTCCACTTCTCCACTTCTCCACTTCTCCTCTTCTCCTCTTCTCCACTTCTCCACTTCTCCTCTTCTCCACTTCTCCTCTTCTCCACTTCTCCTCTTCTCCACTTCTCCTCTTCTCCACTTCTCCTCTTCTCCACTTCTCTTCTTCTCCTCTTCTCCACTTCTCCTCTTCTCCACTTCTCCTCTTCTCCACTTCTCCACTTCTCCTCTTCTCCACTTCTCCTCTTCTCCACTTCTCCTCTTCTCCACTTCTCCACTTCTCCTCTTCTCCACTTCTCCTCTTCTCCACTTCTCCTCTTCTCCACTTCTCTTCTTCTCCTCTTCTCCACTTCTCCTCTTCTCCACTTCTCCACTTCTCCTCTTCTCCACTTCTCCACTTCTCCTCTTCTCCTCTTCTCCACTTCTCCACTTCTCCTCTTCTCCACTTCTCCTCTTCTCCACTTCTCCACTTCTCTCTTCTCCACTTCTCCTCTTCTCCTCTTCTCCACTTCTCCTCTTCTCCACTTCTCCTCTTCTCCTCTTCTCCACTTCTCCTCTTCTCCACTTCTCCTCTTCTCCTCTTCTCCACTTCTCCTCTTCTCCACTTCTCCTCTTCTCCACTTCTCCTCTTCTCCTCTTCTCCACTTCTCCTCTTCTCCACTTCTCCACTTCTCCACTTCTCCTCTTCTCCTCTTCTCCACTTCTCCTCTTCTCCTCTTCTCCACTTCTCCACTTCTCCTCTTCTCCACTTCTCCTCTTCTCCTCTTCTCCACTTCTCCTCTTCTCCTCTTCTCCACTTCTCCTCTTCTCCTCTTCTCCACTTCTCCTCTTCTCCACTTCTCCTCTTCTCCACTTCTCCACTTCTCCTCTTCTCCACTTCTCCTCTTCTCCTCTTCTCCACTTCTCCTCTTCTCCTCTTCTCCACTTCTCCACTTCTCCTCTTCTCCACTTCTCTTCTTCTCCTCTTCTCCTCTTCTCCACTTCTCCTCTTCTCCACTTCTCCACTTCTCCACTTCTCCTCTTCTCCTCTTCTCCACTTCTCCTCTTCTCCACTTCTCCTCTTCTCCACTTCTCCTCTTCTCCACTTCTCCTCTTCTCCACTTCTCCTCTTCTCCACTTCTCCACTTCTCCTCTTCTCCTCTTCTCCACTTCTCCTCTTCTCCACTTCTCCTCTTCTCCACTTCTCCTCTTCTCCACTTCTCCTCTTCTCCACTTCTCCTCTTCTCCTCTTCTCCACTTCTCGAAACTCTCGGCTGCTCGGCTCCTGAAGTTCAGCTGTGTTCAGATCACTCTGATCTTTTCTAGGATTCTAGGAATGTTCTACATAAAATTCAACAAGATTTTTTAACTCTACTTTTTCTCGACAAAATGATGAATAAAGAATGTGCATCGGGTCAGTTTATGCTGAATGTTTTTAATACTTAATGCTTATGTTTTAAATTGAATTGTATATTCTATTGTAATTTGCACAATACTATGGTATTTGGAATAGGGACGCACCGATATGAAAATTTTGGCCGATAACTCTTTATATTTGGAAAGCCGATAACCGATATATTGGCCGATAAATCTAAATCCAAATTTTTATGATTTTTGAGAGCCTGATTACAAACACACAAGTCTCACCATTAACAGCCCCGTCCCACACACACATTTATGATGTTCTCATGATAGTGTTATGTAGCTGATATGACAGACTTGTTGCTCTGAACTGTATTTTACTTTTTAAAGTGATTCCAATCATATTTTAATCAATTCAAAACCATCATGATGAACAGTGTCTCAGCTAATAATAGGGAAGGAAATAATACAACAAAAATGTAAAAACATATGTAAAAAATATATTGCACAAACTAAAAAAAAATTATGTAAAATGATCAGAATAGCAAACAACGTGGTTACGAATCAAAATATAATAATCGTAAATCAAAAAATAACAAGCAGGAATAAAAACTTTAAACTTTAACCACATAAAAAATGATATTACACAAAACTTAAACTTATGTTCATGTTTCCTTCAAAATTATGTTTTCCTTGGTTTTATTTACGCTGTATTTTGTGCCCTCTTACATTTCATGCTCATATTTTACTCCTACGCCACCTTTCCACGTTCTGCGCTTTTCTAAATGTTGCAGTTCGAGTTGCATGTAAATTAGGGCGGGCTGAAGCGTCACCATTGGTCCACTAGTTCTAGATTGACAGCTCCTCTTCAAGCCAATCAATCGAAGTGGGGCGTTGACGTCACACCAATGACCACGCTTGCTTTTCTGGTCATTTTGCATGATTATTTTCAGTTTGTGCAATACATTTGTGTTTTTACATTTTTGATTCACACTTTTTTTTTTTCGCGACCGCAATTCTTTTTACAGAATATTGATCCCATACAGGACAGATGCAGTTGTGTGTGTTTTACAGCAGATGTGTGTGCAGTTGTGTGTTTTACCCCAGATGTGTGTGCAGTTGTGTGTTTTACCCCAGATGTGTGTGCAGTTGTGTGTGTTTTACAGCAGATGTGTGTGCAGTTGTGTGTTTTACCCCAGATGTGTGTGCAGTTGTGTGTGTTTTACAGCAGATGTGTGTGCAGTTGTGTGTTTTACAGCAGATGTGTGTGCAGTTGTGTGTTTTACAGCAGATGTGTGTGCAGTTGTGTGTTTTACCCCAGATGTGTGTGCAGTTGTGTGTGTTTTACAGCAGATGTGTGTGCAGTTGTGTGTTTTACAGCAGATGTGTGTGCAGTTGTGTGTGTTTTACAGCAGATGTGTGTGCAGTTGTGTGTTTTACCCCAGATGTGTGTGCAGTTGTGTGTGTTTTACAGCAGATGTGTGTGCAGTTGTGTGTGTTTTACAGCAGATGTGTGTGCAGTTGTGTGTGTTTTACCCCAGATGTGTGTGCAGTTGTGTGTTTTACCCCAGATGTGTGTGCAGTTGTGTGTGTTTTACAGCAGATGTGTGTGCAGTTGTGTGTTTTACCCCAGATGTGTGTGCAGTTGTGTGTGTTTTACAGCAGATGTGTGTGCAGTTGTGTGTTTTACAGCAGATGTGTGTGCAGTTGTGTGTTTTACAGCAGATGTGTGTGCAGTTGTGTGTTTTACCCCAGATGTGTGTGCAGTTGTGTGTGTTTTACAGCAGATGTGTGTGCAGTTGTGTGTTTTACAGCAGATGTGTGTGCAGTTGTGTGTGTTTTACAGCAGATGTGTGTGCAGTTGTGTGTGTTTTACAGCAGATGTGTGTGTAGTTGTGTGTTTTACCCCAGATGTGTGTGCAGTTGTCGTGTGTGTTTTACCCCAGATGTGTGTGCAGTTGTGTGTGTTTTACAGCAGATGTGTGTGCAGTTGTGTGTTTTACAGCAGATGTGTGTGCAGTTGTGTGTTTTACAGCAGATGTGTGTGCAGTTGTGTGTGTTTTACAGCAGATGTGTGTGCAGTTGTGTGTTTTACAGCAGATGTGTGTGCAGTTGTGTGTGTTTTACAGCAGATGTGTGTGCAGTTGTGTGTTTTACAGCAGATGTGTGTGCAGTTGTGTGTGTTTTACAGCAGATGTGTGTGCAGTTGTGTGTGTTTTACAGCAGATGTGTGTGCAGTTGTGTGTGTTTTACAGCAGATGTGTGTGCAGTTGTGTGTTTTACCCCAGATGTGTGTGCAGTTGTGTGTTTTACCCCAGATGTGTGTGCAGTTGTGTGTTTTACAGCAGATGTGTGTGCAGTTGTGTGTTTTACAGCAGATGTGTGTGCAGTTGTCGTGTGTGTTTTACAGCAGATGTGTGTGCAGTTGTGTGTTTTACCCCAGATGTGTGTGCAGTTGTCGTGTGTGTTTTACCCCAGATGTGTGTGCAGTTGTGTGTTTTACAGCAGATGTGTGTGCAGTTGTCGTGTGTGTTTTACAGCAGATGTGTGTGCAGTTGTGTGTTTTACAGCAGATGTGTGTGCAGTTGTGTGTTTTACCCCAGATGTGTGTGCAGTTGTGTGTTGTACAGCAGATGTGTGTGCAGTTGTGTGTTTTACAGCAGATGTGTGTGCAGTTGTGTGTTTTACCCCAGATGTGTGTGCAGTTGTGTGTTGTACAGCAGATGTGTGTGCAGGTGTGTGTTGTACAGCAGATGTGTGTGCAGTTGTGTGTTGTACAGCAGATGTGTGTGCAGTTGTGTGTTTTACAGCAGATGTGTGTGCAGTTGTGTGTTTTACAGCAGATGTGTGTGCAGTTGTGTGTTTTACCCCAGATGTGTGTGCAGTTGTGTGTTGTACAGCAGATGTGTGTGCAGGTGTGTGTTGTACAGCAGATGTGTGTGCAGTTGTGTGTTGTACAGCAGATGTGTGTGCAGTTGTGTGTTTTACAGCAGATGTGTGTGCAGTTGTGTGTTTTACCCCAGATGTGTGTGCAGTTGTGTGTTGTACAGCAGATGTGTGTGCAGTTGTGTGTTTTACCCCAGATGTGTGTGCAGTTGTGTGTTGTACAGCAGATGTGTGTGCAGTTGTGTGTTGTACAGCAGATGTGTGTGCAGTTGTGTGTTGTACAGCAGATGTGTGTGCAGTTGTGTGTTGTACAGCAGATGTGTGTGCAGTTGTGTGTTTTACAGCAGATGTGTGTGCAGTTGTGTGTTTTACAGCAGATGTGTGTGCAGTTGTGTGTTGTACAGCAGATGTGTGTGCAGTTGTGTGTTGTGTGTTGTACAGCAGATGTGTGTGCAGTTGTGTGTTGTACAGCAGATGTGTGTGCAGTTGTGTGTTTTACAGCAGATGTGTGTGTGTTCAGGTTGAAGCGCCGGCAGGAGGAGGGCTGTATGGGAGCAGATGGAGATGGAGATCCAGACGCTGATGAAGCCGAAGGAGGAACCGAGGACGAAGAGACCGAACCCGAACCCGAACCCGAGACGTCCAAGCTGAGCATGTGCGGTTCGGTCTGCTCGTCTCCTGGAAGCTGCTAGCGCTCGCCATGCCTTTAAACCCCATGATCAGAGCCGTCGCCTACAGCAAGTTTGAACTTCTATGCAACGTATCTCTTCAGCATGATGTAAAATGGAGATTTTAGAGGCAGATCAACGCGCTCGAGTATGACGACACCCCCTGAAACCGAGGAAGAGCTCTTCGTCTTCACATTAATTGTCTTTGAAGCAGAAACACATAAAGCTGCTCGAGGATTCATTGATATTTCACATGCATTCGTATGTTTACATACGTGAGTTATTATTGGGTGCCTTTTGAATTCAGCACAGAGTTTCTGGCTTTCATGCGCTGTGAGAAGACTAACTTTAGGACTAGTTAACACACACTAGTGAGGGAAGTATGTGCTTCTGATGGGAGTGTTTGTGTAGTTATTCTTCTTTCATCCTCATATCAGAACCGATTTTACACAATTCACCCCATAATTCATACAGGTTTACTGGTTACACTTTCCTCCATTAGACTTCACATGAATGTCTGATTATGTGTGCATGATATTTCCTCCGGTTTTCCTCGTCTGCGCTTCAGACGTCGGTGTTTTCCAGCCGTTTGAGATGCTTGACTTCCTCCACAGCACTTCAAAGCAGAAATTCTACCGTAGAATTCAATCGGAGAGTCATTTGTTTAGTTTTTCTTTTAAAGAAATGGAAAATGCATTGACAAATCTGTTTACAGTGAGAAGAACTGCAGTCATGTCGATTTCATTCCACATGAGGGTGATCACATGACCATTTCTACATCAGTGTTTCCTTTAAAGACCCCACGAAGCGTTTATTCCTGAAGGGCTCCTCACCCTGTTCAATGTAAATATCCAGTAGTCATTAGTTTACATCATCAACCATGATTTACTAATAGTTTTGGAGGAGGTTCTTTTCAACAGTATATACATATTGGTTCCTGGATTAAAGATTATCAGTATTTTCATTCATTTCCCTAGAGGAAATTGTCAGTATTTACACTACCGGTTAAAAGTAAGAAATCATTAGGATTTTTAAATGATTTTCAATGAAGTCTCTTCTGCTCGCCAAGGCTGCATTTATTTGATCAAAAATGGGTTTAACGCCGCCTTCATGTGCTATCGGAATTATCCTACATATGAGTTTCCTAGTCGGAAATTTCCTAGTTGTAGTTTCCTAGTCGGAAAATCCTAGTCGGAAATTTCCTAGTTCTAGTTTCCTAGTTGGAAAATCGTAGTCGGAAATTTTCTAGTTGGAATTTCCTAGTCGGAAATTTCCTAGTTGGAAATTTCTTAGTTGGAGTTTCCTAGTCGGAAATTTCCTAGTTGTAGTTTCCTAGTCGGAAATTTCCTAGTTGTAGTTTCCTAGTCGGAAATTTCCTAGTTCTAGTTTCCTAGTTGGAAAATCGTAGTCGGAAATTTTCTAGTTGGAATTTCCTAGTCGGAAATTTCTTAGTTGGAGTTTCCTAGTCGGAAATTTCCTAGTTGTAGTTTACTAGTCGGAAATTTCCTAGTTGGAGTTTCCCAGTTGGAGTTTCCTAGTCGGAAATTTCCTAGTTGGAGTTTCCTAGTTGGAAATTTCCTAGTTGGAGTTTCCTAGTCGGAAATTGGACATGAACTCCCTCTCAAGTCGTATTTACCACTGGGAAGTCAGGGGATGATTATGACATCTGACTTTCCGAGGCGGGCCATAAACTTTAAACACGGCGATGCTGCTGTGACTGCTATTCTTTATTAATTTTTCTACAATCGCTCGCTACATTGCCTTGTCTTGATGTTAAAGTAGTGCATATTTACAAATATGAATAATTATTTGAAAAAATATTGTATGTTTTATACACGACTACAATAGCATGGAAGTAGAATAGGAAGTATGAAATTTCCGAAAGCATATGAAGGCATAAGCTCATTATCATAGGAACCATAAACGTAGAAAATATGTGGCGTATGATGATTTTATTACGTGTTAATGGAAATGTCCTACTTCTGAAGTTGTGATTACGAGCTTGTCACGTTCAAGGGCTTTGTTGTTGGAAAAGACAGAAATCATGGAGGACACCAGGTTTATTCTTGCCTATTTATTGTGAAAATTGTATTAAAGCCAAAATGATTGACAGCCATATAAATATTCAAGCGTCATCTAGAATCTCTCCGGAATTTCAGTCAAATACAGGCTATTTTCTCTATCAAAATGATCTCTGAGTTTTCCATAGTAAATACAGCTTGAGAGGGCGTTCATGACCAATTTCTGACTAGGAAACTCATTTTTATAATAATGCCAATAGCACATGAAGGCAGCACAGATCTTAATAAACAGGCATGTAATACTGCCTTCACATGCCATCAGAATTATCATAAATATGAGTTTCCTAGTAAAAAATTCCAAGTCTGAGATTCCTAGTCAGAAATGCCTAGTTGGAGTTTCCTATTCGGAAATTCCTAGTTCGAGTTTCCTAGTAAAAAATTCCAAGTCTGAGATTCCTAGTCAGAAATTCCTAGTTGGAGTTTCCTAGTCGAAAATTCCTAGTCAGAAATTCCTAGTTGGAGTTTCCTAGTAAGAAATTCCAAGTCTGAGTTTCCTAGTTGGAAATTACAAGTTGGAAATTCCTAGTAAGAAATTCCAAGTCTGAGATTCCTAGTCAGAAATTCCTGGTTGGAGTTTCCTAGTAAAAAATTCCAAGTCTGAGTTTCCTAGTTGGAAATTACAAGTTGGAAATTCCTAGTAAGAAATTCCAAGTCTGAGATTCCTAGTAAAAAATTCCAAGTCTGAGATTCCTAGTCAGAAATTCCTAGTTGGAGTTTCCTAGTCGGAAATTCCTAGTCAGAAATTCCTAGTTGGAGTTTCCTAGTAAGAAATTCCTAGTCAGAAATTCCTAGTTGGAGTTTCCTAGTCGGAAATTCCTAGTTCGAGTTTCCTAGTAAAAAATTCCAAGTCTGAGATTCCTAGTCAGAAATTCCTAGTTGGAGTTTCCTAGTCGAAAATTCCTAGTCAGAAATTCCTAGTTGGAGTTTCCTAGTAAGAAATTCCAAGTCTGATTTTCCTAGTTGGAAATTACAAGTTGGAAATTCCTAGTAAGAAATTCCAAGTCTGAGATTCCTAGTAAGAAATTCCAAGTCTGAGATTCCTAGTCAGAAATTCCTGGTTGGAGTTTCCTAGTAAAAAATTCCAAGTCTGAGTTTCCTAGTTGGAAATTACAAGTTGGAAATTCCTAGTAAGAAATTCCAAGTCTGAGATTCCTAGTAAAAAATTCCAAGTCTGAGATTCCTAGTCAGAAATTCCTAGTTGGAGTTTCCTAGTCGGAAATTCCTAGTCAGAAATTCCTAGTTGGAGTTTCCTAGTAAGAAATTCCAAGTCTGAGATTCCTAGTCAGAAATTCCTAGTTGGAGTTTCCTAGTCGGAAATTCCTAGTTCGAGTTTCCTAGTAAAAAATTCCAAGTCTGAGATTCCTAGTCAGAAATGCCTAGTTGGAGTTTCCTAGTCGGAAATTCCTAGTTCGAGTTTCCTAGTAAAAAATTCCAAGTCTGAGATTCCTAGTCAGAAATTCCTGGTTGGAGTTTCCTAGTAAAAAATTCCAAGTCTGAGATTCCTAGTCAGAAATTCCTAGTTGGAGTTTCCTAGTCGGAAATTCCTAGTCAGAAATTCCTAGTTGGAGTTTCCTAGTAAGAAATTCCAAGTCTGAGATTCCTAGTCAGAAATTCCTAGTTGGAGTTTCCTAGTCGGAAATTCCTAGTTCGAGTTTCCTAGTAAAAAATTCCAAGTCTGAGATTCCTAGTCAGAAATGCCTAGTTGGAGTTTCCTAGTCGGAAATTCCTAGTTCGAGTTTCCTAGTAAAAAATTCCAAGTCTGAGATTCCTAGTAAGAAATTCCAAGTCTGAGTTTCCTATTTGGAAATTCCAAGTTGGAAATTCCTAGTAAGAAATTCCAAGTCTGAGATTCCTAGTAAGAAATTCCAAGTCTGAGATTCCTAGTCGGAAATTCCTAGTTGGAGTTTCCTAGTCAGAAATTTCTAGTTGGAGTTTCCTAGTAAGAAATTCCAAGTCTGAGATTCCTAGTCAGAAATTCCTAGTTGGGGTTTCCTAGTCAAAAATTCCTAGTTGGAGTTTCCTAGTAAGAAATTCCAAGTCTGAGTTTCCTAATCGGAAATTCCAAGTCTGAAATTCCTAGTAAGAAATTCCAAGTCTGAGATTCCTAGTCAGAAATTCCTAGTTGGAGTTTCATAGTCGGAAATTCCTAGTTCGAGTTTCCTAGTAAAAAATTCCAAGTCTGAGATTCCTAGTCGGAAATGCCTAGTTGAAAATTCCTAGTCAGAAATTCCTAGTTTGAGTTTCCTAGTAAAAAAATCCAAGTCTGAGATTCCTAGTTGGAAATGCCTAGTTGAAAATTCCTAGTCAGAAATTCCTAGTTGGAGTTTGGACATGAACGACCTCTCAAGTCATATTTACTACTGGGAAAACGTCCCATAAACTTTAAACATGGAGGAGAAGAGAACGACTGCTGCTGTAACTGCTACTCTTTATTAGTTTTGCCCAACAGCCACAACATCTCGTCTTGATGTTAAAGTAGTGCATATTTACACATATGAATAATAATTTGAAGCACATTGTATGTTTTAAACGCAGTGAAAATAGCCTGCATTTGACCGATATTCCAGAATCGTCAGCAAACTGACCATCCAGATGCAGTGAATGTTTATGTGCTTGTCAATAAATGGGACGCTAAATATGATTTTGGCTTTAATAAGAAGCGGAGCGCGACGAGCTCATAATCATAACTTCAGAAGTGGGAAGAAATGTCCAACAGCACGTGAAGGCATCATAATCATAGACCCACAGCGATGATGATGATGATGATGAAGATGAAGATGGTGTTTCCTGGAATATATTAGTCTCGTGCTTTGAAACCTTCCTCTCTTCACATGTTGCCAAATTACCTTTCTGACTGTTAGACTTCTGCAACTAGCACTCAGCGAAGGGTTAGATGAGCCGTGAACCCTTCATCTCCGCTGCTTACTGAATCTCTATAGGACACCGGTTTAAGATTATTTATAGCTGACAGACAGTAGCGTGTGTGTGTGTGTGTGTGTGTGTGTGTGTGTGTGTGTGTTACGTGCTTCAGTAGTTTCCCGATCTTTCTTTAGTGTAGCATTACTTCAGTAGGAATAACCGAAGCGGTGTTGAAGTCGGCACACGTGTAGCATTCGTTACACTGCAGGAGATCATGTTCGTCTCGTTCTCCAGAACTAACATCTACACATTATTAAATCCAGACACAGTTACGGGAGAACAAGAACTATTACTGAAGATATTAAGTCTTGCTTTCTGAAAAACTGATTTAAAAGTGGAGTGAGTTTGTGCTTAAAACAAGAACTAATATCTGCCAATGGGGTAAAAATGGGGTTCCT